AAAAAAAAAAAAAAAAAAAAAAAAAGTTGGTTTTTGCAGAATGGAGACCAGAGGCTGCAGCACTTTGCAGAAAGCAGAAAAGTCCACCAAAATCTTTCTCCATGGTAGGTTCTGCTGCAGGTACTGTAGCTTCAGTTAGAATCAAAACTTCTATGAATAGATTTTAACTCTAAACACATCTTATAAAAACCTCTTTTTTAATGCTTCTACTCAGCTTCCTCTTCCAAATATTTAATTTCTGTCCCTGAACACCCTCATGCTTTAAGACTGGGTAAAAAATTTTTTGCAGCTGCATAAAAATATGTCATTGGTTCTGCAATATTTCCTGGCCAACATTCATAAAAATGACCCATCTTATTAACTGAATTTGTAAGTACTTCCACTCTGCATAAGGAATGGACATTTTACAATAAACACAGTCAAATACCAAACAAGACTAGCAGTCTTGTCATACAGTCACACATTTTCCACTCACAAGTGCACACAAGCACATGTATTTACTATAAAACAGATTCAATGGGACCATGAACTGCTTGTACCTTGGCCAGAGTGGCCTGATACTACACTTGCAGCTATATTTGATAAATATTTCCTACATACACATACTGCTACAGGCATGCCGAGTTCCTTCTTCTGCTTTCACTTTTGCAGGTGTAGGTCAGGAGAAACAACACTGAAGCTGAGGAAGGACGCTGATGAAAAAATGAATCACAAATGTGTGCTTGTACAACCTCAAGCCTTGGCTGTTCATGCCAGCTGTGAGGCACTTGCTTCACTGAACACGTGAGCATGGTGGTGTTTTTACACTGAACCTGCAGGAGAGCCTGACATTGCGGTGGCTTTGTCACCAGAGATGAATGCTGGGTAGGAATGCCCACAGACCCATGGATACATCCACAGCAGGGAAAGCACATTACTAGTATATGTTATGCCCCAAAAATGAGCAGCATGAACTACAGACCCAAAGGTGGTCAACTGTATTCCCACATTAGAGCTCAGTTACTTTAAAGGACTTTATTGATGCCCTCTACTCCCGCATTATAACTATAATGAGACTTTATCACTTGTTATCTTCCAGCCCAAGATCCTGTATGAGGGGTGGGCACAAGGAATCCCTGGACATGTTCATGCCCCAGCCATGGTCTTGTCATCAATGCCTGCTACACATTCAGCTTCAAGACAGACTGTACTTGGCAACAAGGTGTTACCAAATATTTTGTATAGGAATGATCTGAAGAGGACTTTCCAGGGGGTAACTTACATGGATGAGTTTAATTTAATTTATACTTTTCTTTAAGTACAGTTGGAATGGGTTCATTTTTCATAGCTAGTAGATATACACTCAGCTGTTCTTAACCCTCTCCAATTTTGATTGATGCCAAATGAGAGGGGACAAAGTAATTTCTAAGCCCTGCTGCAATGTCCTGTGTGAGATCAGACATTGGCTGTACATAAATGTTCTGCTCTTCCTGCTCTTAGACCTCCTTTCTGTTCTTCTTAGGTTTAGCAACTATATCCCCCATGTAATATTTTTTTCAACCCTTTATTTTAAGATTTCCCCAGCTATACAGGGTAGGGGGATGGCAGCTCACTCAGGTGGTTTTGTTTCTTTGTCTTTACTTAAAACTGATACAAATAAAGCCACATTCATGAACCGTGTAAGCAAGCACGGCTCCAGTTGTGAGTTCAAGTGTACCTCAAACACAGCTTTGAAAGGAGATTACTGATTCCTGTGTAGGTTTGCTACCTTCACCACATCTCTGTGCACATGCACTCATGTCTGAGTCCCTGTGTCTTTCCTCTTGTTGACATGCACATGCCCTCTCTGCGGCTTTGTGTGTCATTTTTTATATACATTTGTATGTGTACATATATGTAAAATGGTTTGTATGACATGATGATGCACTGTCACTCACAGTGTGTTTGTTTCCTGGCTCTGGAGTTTTCCTATTTATACTATAACAGAATATGTTGATGTTGTATAATAAACAGTACAGTAGTATAAGTATATTAAGACACAGTGATTCAGGGCATAGTCTAAAGGCAGAGCAAATGGCATTTTCTGTTCACTAAATGGATTTTTTAGGTTTTCTTTTTTCCTGTGTTTTTCACTTTGGAACAAAATCGTCTTCAATTTGTTTAGAAACAAGTGGTTCATTAATTTTATTTATGAACATATGCAAGGACGGCATGAAAATAGGATGTTGTGTATGTGTACATTGAAACAAACTGTGCCCTCAGAAAAGTTTAGTGTAATCTTTTTTCTCTTTTTTTGCTATGGTGCAATAACCTGATATGGCTTAGTTGACCTTTAAAAGGAGTAAATATGTGAGTGGTTTTAAGTTTATATCTGTTTTAAAAAAGTAAAAAATAATTGCTTCCCATTCTTTCCCCAGGCATTGCCTTTTTTAATAGAAGGAATTGTATTTACACCTTTTTTCTTTTTTTTTTCTTTTGCTGTCGTTTTATATTGTAACTTCATTTTCTTTGAGAATATTGTACTTAAAAAGAAACAATTATTTCATAAAAATTGGAAATGTTATTAAATTATGTCTGCAAACTGAGATGTATCTTTTTGAGACGAGATCAAGATGAAAACCCTAAGCCCCAGAATATTTTTGTCACTCTCCTGGTGGGTGAAGGAGGCATTGGGCACAGCTGGAGGTTCTGTGTCTGTTGGTGTGACTGTGTGGGAGGGGACACAGAGTAAGGTAAGGTGCAGGTAGACAGAGCCCCATGGGAAGTCTATCCATGTTGTCCCTGCACCATAGTGAGTCCATCCGTGCTGGCCTCGCAGTCCAATCTCTGTGGCCAAAAAAAGCCAAGCCCACCCAGCCCTCACCCCCTGCGTGAGGAAGCATTGCTCAGCCAGCTCCAGTGAAGATCAGGTCCTGAACTGGCCACCTGCTATCCAGTGTCCCTGCCCATCCCAATCACCCAGGTCCTGCAAGCAGCTGAGTTTGAGAAATGTTTGTCCTCCAGCCCTCTCCTCAAACCCTTCCCTCCCACCAGCCAGATGGAGTCATTACAGAACACAATTACTTCTGCATGTAGAGTCATGGTAATTCAAAGTAAAACACAGAGAAATTATTTCTACTATTTGCCATAACAAAGGTGATTTCTCTGCAGGCATCCATTTCCTTTGGATTCCAGCACAGTAAATTTCACATCACATATTTAATGCAAACAAGAATCAGTGTTTTTCTTAGAAAAGGCACCATTTATAAAGTTTCAGAAATATTTCCATTTGTTAAACTGTATTATTATGAACAAAATGAGATTTTTTTAAAAAAGAAAAACAACCCCAAAACAAACCCTAATGGTATTGCAATAATTCTTTTACAGGTTCCCAAAATCTAAATTTTCCTTAAGTTCCTTACGTTTTTGTGGTATAGTTTCATCATAAACTATGACTACATAATATAAGAAGGAACTAACATCCTATTTTCTTTGTTCCCCATCATAGCTGGTTCTCAGTAAATGAAACAAACTATGGATTTCTGTTTCAGCTGGTGACTTTTCTCCTAAACAAATATGATCTTTTTAATAATAATAATAAACACAAAAATAGACCAAATGTAATATTCTCAATTAGTGTTATAAAATCCTTGAACCAGAGACATCCAAAGATTTAAATGCAATTTTGTGTACCTAAAAATCTGTTCTGGGTTTCTTATCTATTACGTTTCAAAGACTTCCTTCAAGTCAAGACATTTATTTTTCTTCCTACTCCAACAGCTTGATTAAGTTACATCAGAAACTGTGGTAGGTGCCAAGATACAAACTTACACAGACAAAACCTACAGCTACCAGGGGTATTTTCAGCCTCGAGAGCCCATACCGGCTTCCCAATCCATACACATCAAAACACCAAAACAGCGTTAAACCATGCTCAACAAACAGTGTTTTTGAAATCAAATACATTAAAAGACAAATATTTTAGAGATACCAAAATGAGAACTCAGAGACAGACCTGGAGCACGTGGATCTGATAATGTAACAATTTCCTGGCTTTTTAATTGTGTGTGTGTGAGAGAGAGAGAGAGAGAGACAGTCACTCAAAGTCTTACTTGGGGAAAAAGGAGTTGGAAATGCTCCTGACTTTTCCAATACACTGAAAATATTGCACTGCTTTTATCAGTATGTGAGATGGTCAAAAATAAAGGAAAAGCTTTCACTGAAAGCTTCATGTTACAGCAGCAACACTGACAATTTGAAAACTGAAAATGTGGCAACTGGAAAATGGAAATACTTGATTTCTGAACAAACTGCTAATTCCTGTCTTGTGGGTCAGATCTCCACGGCATCCTTCCCTGCTATAGGCCAGCCAGAATGTGTCCACCAGCACAAAGCACAGGAAGCTTCTTGTCTGGAAGAAAAATTGTACATGAGAAAAAATTTTGGTCAAAATGCATCATGAAAGACAAAAATTCCTCAGACCTGGCCTGTGGAAGGCAAGCGAAGTCTTAATCTCAACAGGACATCCATTATCCCAGTTTCTAAATTTTGATGCTTCTTTATTTTGGGCACACAGACTTTGACTTTTCAGGGCTACTGAAGTCAGTGGCAGCAGCAGACATGCAGCATTTCTGAAATCCTGCTACAATGGCCAGTAGATGGGCATGCAGAAAACAGGAAGGACAAAAATTTGCAAAGTTTCACTGAAAATGGGATAGATGGAAGTGAGAAATCCAAAGCCAGGCTTCAGACAGCAGTTAA